AGAGACAGCACTAATATGGAAACCTGCTGTTTTACCTTTGGATATTTCCAGTGCTCTTTCAAATCGACATCTTAGACGAGTATCACGTGGAAATTTCTCGTTCTTTAAAAAGCACTAAAAAAAAATAGTCAAGGCCTGTTAACTTTACAAGAATCGGAACAATCCAAATTATAAAGATGCAAAGTTTTATCAACGTACATATCTCAATCTCACTCTCTGGGTATTTGCCCTGAATATTTGAAAACAAAGTATGTTTAAGAAGTACGTACATAAAATGTTTGTACTCACCTCATCGTGACTAATATACCCACTACTTGCAGGGGATGGATTCGCCTCGTTTTCAATATTGGCGCCTATAAACGGAGTCGTCTCCCTAAGAAAAGAAAAAAATACAGTTTTAAGACTTATAAGGTACATAAAAAAATATATATAACTACAATATAGGCCCTATTTCTTTTACAACCCTTCATCTCATTCTCGTCCTTGTTTAATTAATGCAGTGGCGGATTCAAAAGCGCCCAGTCGGTCCCGGAAGCCCTTATTTTCAAAATTATAAAACAGTCCGGAAAAGAGTCGGAGAGAGCTACTTCCAGTCACCTAGGTGCTATAATCATACATTTTCTTACTTCAAGCCCAACAATGGTGGGCGGAAGCGGTCTAAACCTCCACCTTGCAAAAGTCCCTCCCTGAGCGCCTTCTATTCCTGGTTTCCTACTATAAGGTCTGTCAGCCACATGAGCTTACTTAATCTGATTGGCAACCGGGCTACCATCAGCAGATGCTCGTACCGGTGTCTCGACAGTTGTGTACAAGTCCCCAGATTCACCTCCAGGACCATCTAAGTGCAATTAAAGAAAAATCATATTTCAAAATAATTCCTTCAAATGATTGTGTACTGTACTACCATTCATAATGCGAACATACTTCATTACGATGAGAATGTACGCTAGCTAGGAATAATTTAGAAATCAGCAACAAAGACAACAACAACAATAATGAGGATGATACTAATGATGATGCTGATTACGAAAGATAGAACCGTTATATTTTACTAACCATTACCGCATGACGATTCACCGTTTGCCCATGGCCGTGGATGTTTTTTCCACGTTTTATAAAAAACGAAGACGATAACGCCTACGATCACAACAGCTACGACAATCGCTAACGCCAAAACAAAGATCCACGGAGTAGTCAAGCCTATAGCTGCTTCAGTAGAGGGTGTATGGTCTTCAACTGTGCATGAAATGAAACATAATATTAGTTACGCACATTTAAAAATTGGGTAAACATTGTACTGTATTTTGTATGTATATGAACATGTTTCGAAATAATAATCTTTAATTGATAATGGAATAATGGGATTTGTACGGATATTTGTAACTATATATCGATACATCATTAAGGATTTTAGTTCGGAAGACCTGCCAATTTGTTTGCTTAGAAAGTATGAGAAGATATCCCTACGCTTCATAAAAGCTGAATTGGATTATCATTATTTACACAATTGTAAAACGTTCGGCGTTTTCTCAAAGTTCATATCGATACAATATTGGTATGAACTTCTAGAATGAGTCAGGCCTAATTCAGATCTGTTTTGTTATTTGTTTCAGTGGCGGATTCTAATGTGGGGGGGGGGGCAAAATAAAAAAAACTAATGTGGGGGGGGGGGCAAAAAAAAAAAAAATGAGAGAAAAAAAAATTCTACTCAAATTTTTAGTATAAGAGTGCCATTTCCGGCCATCTAGAGATGCCATAATCATAAATTGTCTTGCCTCAGCCCCACCCATGGTGGGGATGAGGTAGTGTTAACCCTCCATTTATGTAAGTCCCAATTTGGGCCACCTATATTTCAAATTAGGGTATCCGCCGCTGTGTTTGCAGGCCTAATTTACTAGATGGAACCAGTACTATCTTGAATTTACTATTCATTACCAGTTTGACTGTCATTATTCGATGGCGTTGTCATATCTGATGACGTCGTCATATCTGATGACGTTGTCATATCTGATGACGCCAAGGGTTCCATGTCGGTGGTTGTTTGGTCAACCTGGCATCCAGGTATTGTTTGCCCAAGTAAACCATGACAGGATTCACACGTTGAGTTTTCGGTTAAACTCGCATATCTGAAATTAATGCGCATAGTAACTTTACAATGGGATTTTTTTTTCTAGCAATTAAAAGTGTTTAAGGTTAAGTTTGACATCCAGCTATTTAACAAGAAAAGCATTCCAAACCAAAATGTTAAAAATAAATAAATAAAATAATATATATTAATGCTTACAATGCATACAAAACACTGCGTTAAATGGAATAAAAAAAACCATGTCGTATATTTGCTGGTGCATTTGTATATGTAAACAAGGCATCGTTCGAACAGCATTCATACAGGATCCGTGTTGCAATATTATGTATAGGCCTATCAATTGACTTGTGACGTCACACGCTCGAATGAAACTAGGACGGGTAGTTAAAATTATCTTACCCTGGCAAGCAATCCCCACAAACTGTATCATATGAGTCAAGTAATTCATGAGAGCAATTGCGGATGACGACACGGTTGACGCATTTCTTACAAGAAGCACACCGTAATTGGCTGTGTTTTTCGGACTGGAATTGCCCCTCTTCACATGGTCTACATTCACCCTTTTCTCCTTCTATTCCGTTTCCACATGGAAGTGCCTGAAAAAATACATGTAGAAAGATAAAGCCAGAGTCTCTCGGCGCCCGACGGTCGTCGCCGCCGCGATTCTATGCACGCGCGAGCATCGGATCGTTTTTAATGACGATCCGTTCATACTATCACCGACAATCAGCAGACGACGTGCGTCGTCTAGCGTTCATAGGGAGCAGAGTTGGATTCATCGGCGCCGACGGTCGTACGACCGTCATACGACTCAGCGACTGCCCTGCTTAAGTGCTAGTGCTGGGAACATTTACTTCATCACATCAAAGGAAACCACTGAACAGTGACACATCCGGGTAATAATATTTCCGGACATAAAGTACATCCTTTTGTTGAACTGGTTTATCGGTAGTACTCCATAGAAAGTCACGTGATTGCAGTTCAAAGGCTTCTATTGAACTCTATTTTTCGAGGGTGGCTCTTCCAGTAATGCTGATAATTGAGACCCTCATAACAATAAAATACAGTAATAACAATCAATGCATATTACATTACGTACATATTCTAAAGGGAAAAATCAGTAATTCAATAAATTCAATTTAAAAAAATAAGATAAAGGAAAATATAGAAAAAGAAAAAACTTACACCAGTGTATCCGGTTCCTGATGGACAATGCAAACAATTTCTACATTTTTGGTCTTTTGTGTCCCATAATGCATTTGGTTGTCCTTTACAAGCTTCACGAGACACTGCAATTGCCTTTTTGAAAAAAATTCAAAGAAGTTAATAAAAATAACAAAAACATTTTTAGATAGACCGTATTAAAAGCCTTCGGCCTAGCAGTGTTACCCTTATACTCATTGGCGGTGTAAATTGTACTGTAAGTTAGCCTTTAGTCTACTAGGTGAACAAATCACTACTTAGTATATAGCATGCATTGTAAAGTTATACAGTACAAACTTAATTTTTGTTTGAACACTACAAAATTACATCGCAGCGTTAATAATTATCGGATATAGATTACTAGAAAATTGCCTGATAATTAGATGAGAATTGTACCTGTACCTTATTCATTAAGCTGATAATGACAATTAACAGGATACCGATCAGTTGACGACAGTCCATTATCTACCATTGAAGGATCAATATTAACAGGATAGGCCTATATCAATAGAAATATAAGGAAGGTGAATGCAGTAGTTAACATCAACAACTGATGGTGAAGTTGGCAACATGTCCCCGACTCCTGTGCAGGCGTATGGGTATTTTGGCAACATATCCCCAACTCCTGTGCAGGCGTAGGAGTATTTGCATAAGGAGCTTATGGGGGTGGGGTGAAGCTAGGTGATTGAAGGGCTAACCAAAAAATGATATGAAGTGATTTTTAACTACTGGAGTGTATTTGCTTTGCAAACTTGCATAGCGAGGATTGAGGAAACGAAGGTGGGGAGGAGGGATGATTGTTTAGATGGTCGTATAAATAAATAAAATGAAATGAACGGGCACAAGCTTTTTTTAAGGTGGCGGTAGGGGGAACAAACGCCCCTGCCCCTTAAGAACGCTACTTCTCCCAGTGTGGTCTGGGTCAAAGGGAACGTATTCCGCTGTACCCTGACTCGATGTTACTACTGTATAACAATATACTCTTGACCAGATATGTTTGTAGGTAGACCTACATACCGAGAACACTTCCTATCTATGCATCAGCAACAAACCAACACATCTGTATTGCTATATTTGTTCCTAACAACATCACACTGCCCCTACAACAACTACGGATCATAACAATATTAATTGTGGACAACAATATTTTAAACAATAATAAATTATTAAATAAAAACTCACCACAAGTAACGACGGCGTGTTGATAGAGTAGAGTCTGATACATGAATGAAAATTTTTATGGAATAAAAACAGTGGTCAATGAAGCGTACAAAGGGGAATCCCCATTACAAACACAGTACTTAGCCAATCAGGTGAAGCCGTGAGAACAACCTTACTGATGACGGTAGAGTTCAATCATAGTTCAACGTTTCGAAAATGTTCCTCTGCTCAAGCTAATGGCTTGATATTAATTTAGCCAATAAATTGTCCCCTGAAAGTGACAACGAAATCATAAGAGATAATTTTAAAATTAACTTGCTCATTTTGCAGTAACATACAAATTATTAACTTGAGCAAAGAAACTATTTAATTTAAAAAAAATGTCTACCCTGATTTTTATATACCGGTACTCGATATGATAAAAAATAATAAAAATATTATTTTTCTCTGTAAAATTATGGGTAAACAATTTATAAATAAACTGATTTCTATGTTTAGGTGGATAATCTTTATGTAACTATAACAAAAGAGAGTTAAATTTAAAAATGATTTTTG